TTTTTTGTTTTTATAAGATATCGCATATAATTATGTGATCATGTACCTATAGCTCATAGTGACTGTGTAGGAGGGTAGACGTGCCCTATAGAGTATCCCAGCATCTTACTATTTATGGAAGGAGACCGCCACATCTTCACCGTTACAGCTGTTAAATCCCAACCATTAACCTTCTGCTTTGCAGCAGAGTACTTTCACATCTGTATCATGAGGGTTTCTATATAAATACAAAATGTGCCTTCAAAAAGAGCCTGGGAAAATTCCATTATCTTTTGGAATTTTTAACATTTAAATGTCTAAATATTTTCAGAATGTTTGAAAGCATAAAATATACACGATTGACACAAAAAGGGGCTTCAACAAGTTCATGGGAAATGGAACTGAAAGTTCTGCACAGCTTGTGTTGAACTCCAATAATTTGGGAACATTTTACCAACCAAGGACTGATTGCTTAAGGTTTCCTTTTATAGCAAATCTGAAAAGCAGGTCATTGTTGCTTATTATTATGAGTATTTGCTAACTGGGGAAAAAAAGTTTTCTTATTTAAAATTATATTCCGCCCTTAAATGTCATACATCATGAGTACTTTTCCCTACAACACCATTGTCCTAGTGGAGAATCCCAACAAAAATTGTCATGGTTATAAAGTTGCTACTGCTCCTCCCCCCCGCCCCCCCCCATAATTCATGTGATATAACATTCTAATACATATCATCTCATTACTTTATGAAAATATCACAAATTGGTGAAATGAAGAAAAGAAAATGTGTGGAAATGAATTAAGAGTTGCTGTTGTCATCAGTTGCTTAGAGGCTACTCTGACTCATGGGAGCCCAGGTGCTGCAGAATAGAATGCTCCCTCCGTCCAGGACACGGCCGAGGCTGGGAGGGACCTTCGGGAAGCAGATTGTCAGGTTGGTCTTGTAAAGATCAGCTTTCACTGTCCTTCTATATTATCAGCATGCTCCCTGGTGGTATAGTGGTGACGCGTTAGCCTGTGATTCTCAGTCAGCTGTTCAAAGACACCAGCTTCTCCTTGGGAGAAAGACAAGGGCTTTCTACACTCATAAAGAGTTACAGTCTTTGAAACCCGCAGGGGCAGTTAGACCCCAATCTACAGTGTCACTATCAGTTGGCATCAACTAGATGGCAGTGATTTGGTTTTTGTTTTTCTTTTTTTGGGGGGTGGTGAAATATAAAATTTCCCATTCAGTTGGACTTGAATTATTTTTGTATGTCTAACATTGTAACTAAGAATTTTTTGGTTGGTGGTTCAAACCCACCAGCCATTCCTTGGGAGAAAGAAGAGGCTGTCTTTGTAAAGATCTAGCTTTGGAATCTCCTGGCAGCAGTTCTGTTCATCTATGTAACATCCCTTGAGTCAGATCAGACGTGATGACAGTCGGTTTTGGGTGGTGTACCATGATAAAGCACGCAGCTCCATAAACCAGCAGTCAGCACCTGTAAAGCTTGCGGCCTAGAAATCCTGTCAGACACGTTCACACTGCCATATGGGGGAAGGGGGGCTACTGAGTTCAAAATAGACTAAACGCCCTTCAAAAGAACAATAGCATACTAACCTGCTGCTTTGGAAGAAAGCAAACTAATTTTTCATTGATGTTCTTTTACTCCACCCTTGTCATGAAAGTCATATAGAAAATATATAGAACTATTCTTTATACTCAATGAGGAAAACCTATTCTAAAGTCAGATGCGATTACCGTGAAAGAGAACTTTCTAAGTGTGAAGTTCATTTAGGGAAATGCCATGTGTTTTATGATTTAGTATCTCAGAAAAGGAGGCAGACATTTGATGACATGGATTGACACAGAGGCTGCATCGATGGGCCCAGACAGAAGAACAATTGTGAGGACAGGGCAGTATTTCTTTCTGTAATTTGTGGGGTCACAAGACTTGAAGACATCTAACTACAATAACAACATCTCAAAATAACTATAACAGAATATTAAATATAGTAACCACATTTCATTTTTTCAAGATAAATGGTGGTATTCATATAGCTCTCTTCTATATGGTGCAAGGCTATATGGATTTTTTCTCCCTTTGATTATTTGTTTTGCCCATCTTTGTCAGTAAATGTGCATAATTGTTATAATAAAGTCAACAGAAATTGAATGGGCACTATTTTCTGTGTCTTTGTGTCTCACTTTATAATAATAAAGGACATATTAAATAGCTATGTTATATACCCAACCCCTAGGGAGACATTTAAATAAAAGATACAAATAAAATAGATTGCACCTAGAATAGAAAGAAGGAATAAAAAAAATCCTCAACTGAAGAATTAATCAATAAATTGCTTTTTTTAAAGGATCCTCTAGTTTCAACTTAGCCTAAGAAATATAACTTTATAGCCCTTATTCTCATTGAACTAATTCTAGTCAGTTGATGTATGAGAATAGTCTCATTGGATAAAATATAATTATATATGTCCCAATAGGTAAACTAGGCGCAAGTATTAGCAAAATAGTCTATTTTGAGAAATGTTCTATATCTGTTATGATGTCTAATTATCCATTAACAAGAGTAGGAGCATGTACACCCCTGATAACTGCTATCGGTGGAAAAAACTACCCTACTGCTGTTACTGTGTCCCAGTAGAAAATCTGGGATCATTTACTTAATTCTTTATGAAATTCATCTATAATCTCACTTACTTAGGGGCTCTTACAAATACAAGAGGGCTTCAAAAAGTTATTGGAAAGTTATATTATCTTTTTATTCTATTTTTCTGTGAACTTTTGACCAGCACTGTAGGCTGCTAGCTACAAGATCAACTGTTCAAAACCACCAGTCACTCTGTGGGATAAAGTTGAGGTTTTCTACCCTGTAAAAAGTTTCAGTCTGTGAAACCCACAGACTTAGTTCTACCTTATTCTACAGGGTTGCTTTGGCTCAGAACCCATTCGATGGCAGTGAATGTGTGAACTTTTGAAGCCCCTTAGTCTAAAGAGGAGTCTCAGGGTGCAGTGGTTAAACAGCCAGGTAAGCTTTCTTCGTGGTTCAAACCCACCACCTGCTACACAGAAGAAAGATGTGGCCATCTATTGGGAAACCTTCTCAGGCAGTTCTACCCTGTCCTACAGAATTTCTATGACTCAAAATCAACTCGATGGCAATGCAGTTTATTTTTTTCTGGTCATAAAATTAATTTAGGTAATTCTGATTTTAGAAATAATTGCTTTTAATGGACACCAGGAAGATAAATATATGGTTCTAATACTGTTACTAATCCTGTTCCTGCTTTTGATTAATCAACCTTTTGACCTTTTCAATTTGATTAATTGACCTTTTAACTAGTGCTTGTTGTTAGGTTCTGTCAGCTTGGTTTCCATTCACGAGGACCCTGTGGACAACAGGAGGAAAGGCAGCCCGGATGGACACCAGGCTCACAATAGTTACTCCTGAGTCCATCGTTCCAGCCACTGTGTCCACGCCTCTCATTGAGGGTCTTCCTCATTTTTGACCCTCCTTGTGACATCGCTAAACTCCGAGAGATGCATTCTTTCCATTCTTGCATCTTGGGAGCCTTCCAGCTGTACTTAATCCCACATAGATTTGTTTACTCGTCTGACCACCTGTGGGAATTCCAATATTCTTTGCCAGCACCATCATTCCTGTATCAAATTTCTCGGGTCTTTTGCATCCATGGTCCAGCTTTCACATGCATATATGAGGCAATTTTAAACACCATGGCTTCAAGGGCACCGTAGTTATCAAAGTGAAAAGTAACTAGAGGGCTGATTTTTATGTGTGGTATTAGAGTCCACTGTAGTCACTGAATCATGACGAATCTTTTCTATCCTGAAATATTCCAACTGTGTCCTTGTTGTTATTGTGTGCCATTGAGTTTATTCTGACTCAGAGTGGCCCAACGGGCAGAGTAGAAGTGACTGTGGTGTGTCTGGATGTAAATCTATATGGGAGCACATTTCTAGGTCTTTTCTCTTGCTGAACTGCTGGTGGGTTTGAACTGTGGACCTTTGGGTTAGCAGTGGAGTGCTTAAACATTGCTACCCTCACGTGGTTTTAAATAGGAGTAATATCTGTGATAGTTGTGGCACCCACAAGAAGATATTGTAGAGACTAGCCTATCAATTAGGTCACAGCCTGATGGTTCCTCCTCAAAAGGAGGTTCCTGGGAACCTTCCCCTCTCTTTGGCTTCACCTTCCTGCTATCGAGTCAGTTGGAGACCTGCCAGAGCCCTGTGATGCTTCCACTGCCATTGGATCCACTAGACATTGCATGCAATGCGTGACTCTAAAGAGGGATTTATGGACTCGTATTGGATTTGTGGACTAGTATCAGGCTTATGGACTTAAGTTGGACTGGACTGGGATATTTGTTTGATATATAATTACTCCTTAGAACAAAGTTCTTTCTTATACATATATGAGGGCCTCTGGATTTGTTTCTCTAGTCAACCCAGCCTAAGACAATATCTATAATCCACAAAGAATCACTGTAGAATAGCAGTTTTAGGAGATATGTATTACATTCTCAAGTTTAAAAGTTACACAGCTTTTGAAATAAATGCCACGTTTAAGCACTAAACCCCAAGCCACTGAGGTACCAAAGCCTTCACTTGTCCTGTTTCACCATGATTATTGAGCAACTCTCCTCGAGCTTCGGCTACATGCAGCACCATTTGCTAGATGCTTACGACACACAAATCATCCCTGCCTTTAAAGGACTTGCAATCTGCTCATGGAGAGGAGACACCTATCTAAAGAACCAGGCGTCAGCACAACAGGGCCTATCAGAGTTGTGAGAAGAAAAGGAAGGCAAGTCCCTGTTGGGACAGATCACTGAAGAGGTCAATGATAGAGGATGCCACAGTTCACACTGCATCACGTGACTGCACCAGGCCACCTGTCCAGAATACAACTGATGGCGGAAAGCATTGCGTGTGCAGAAACAAACCGCCGGCTAGGCAAGTCGCATAGCTTGTCAACTATAACCCTGCAAGCCTCCTTACCTGTGGGGCATCCTCAGCTGGTCCAGCTGGTCTGCCTTCACTCCTAGGAGCCTCAAACACGCTCCTCAGCTCCTCCAGGGCAATAGAGAACCTTTCAATCCTGCGCCGACTCCGAACGGAATCTTCCTTCAGCACCTCCAGCGGGCCACCTCCCCGGGGATTGTCCCTCTTGTCCTCCTCGGGGCCTTTCTCTGAGAGGGAACTCGGCACCTCTTCCACCCTGCAGGGCTGACTTGGGGGATCGGGAGATGCAGGGGCAGATACCCTCTCGCCTTCAGGTCCCAGCAGTTTGTTTTCTTGTGGTTGGAAGAGCCTGCAACGGCTGCCTCCAGGACAACATTCGCTCTTCTGGTAATCGCTGGATTCCCATTTCTGTCTCAGGAGGTTGAGGGAGCCCCTCTGCATGGGGAAGACAGGCGGCTCCAGGTGGTCCTGTAACGTCAAAGTCCTATCATGAAAATATACTCAGGTGTGTGAGTCGCTTTCAAAACCCCAGGTTGAGGAATACCAGCAGTGTCTCCGTGTTGACATCTAGAGTTAGGAAAATCATTCGAAGGTCTGAGTTGTACAGCCAGAGGCATTTTTAAATAATCAGAAGTGAGGAAAACACCATGCTCTTTCCTTTTCTTATGGGGAAAATCGGCCAACAATTAATTCAATGTAAAAAATGGATCATGTTCAATCATAGAAAGCCAATTTAACCAATTTAAAGGAAAAACAAGTAATTTCTGGCTAGTCACAGCTCAAGTGTTTCTTTGAACTAGTTTCTGCACAAGTCTTACTGAGGTAACTGGCTAACAAGGCAAACATTTGGAAAATAAACTTATATGCAATTTATGAAAATAACTTATTAAACGTCTTTGAATGTCTACATGATCACAAAGAGTTAGTTGTCATTATAATTCCCACTTGATGAGTGTTAAGAAGTAGAGGAACTTGCACAGCTTCTGGATGCTGGAGCCTGGATTTAGCATGCATCTGGGCAAAGCTCTGCGATCTGCCCTGTGGAAACGCCTGCTGGAGTTGGCTCTCTTTAGATCAGTGTCTTCAAGCACAAGTGCCCCACGTGTGCCTCATTGTGAACTGATGGGAATTTCACCTTGTTTTCAAGTTTTGTGGTGAATAGGAAAAGAACCATCAAAACCAAAATATACTTTTACCAGAGACACACAGACACACAAATCACAGACACTGAGGGTCATA